ATCACTGACTTTCACGCCCAACATTATTACAAATGAACAGTATTTTTCTCTGCTTTAGTCAGTTTAATTTCTCATTTGTCACAACCTTATACTTAGTCACCTCATGGTGTCCCAGGTATAGTCAATTGCCAGGGGTTTCTCAGTCAGCAAGAGAAAAAAAAAAACACACTTAAAGGCAGCAGTGACTGGGAGGAGCTACACCAGAACGTGGGGAGCTGCACGGTACTCGGGAGGGCTTCACCCATGGTATTTTATTTTATTTATATCAGCAGGTAATATGTCAGTCGGGTGGGTGGGGTGGAACCAGTTTCGCTTAATTCCTTGAAAGGCAAGAGGAGTTTAAGGCACCGAAGTGCACCCCTCACTGGGGTAACAGCCCCCCTGCTTCACACAAAACCCTACCTGCTCTGCAAAAGGGGAAACTGAGGCACGTAGCAGACCATGGGGAGCTGAATTTTCCCCTCCTCCGTGGAGCGGGATGGCACGACTGAAACCACAAGCACAAACCTTCCCATTTCTGTGGTCTGGGGCAGCTGAGGGGGGGCTTTCTGCAACCCCCAGACAAACCTCCTGCTTTGGAGCAGCACAAGCCACGGCTGCTGCTGGAATCCCTCCTTCGGCTCGCTCCCCCATCCGAGCAAACCCAGGCAGGAGCTGCTCCTGGCTCTGCCCCACCGCAGACCCAGCAGAGGAAGGGCTTTCCAGGGATGGTTTCCAGCCCTGGCCCCTGCACAACCGCAGCGGGCAGAGTCCTCCCTCCTCAGAGTCCTCCCTCCTGCTTCTCCCCGCAGAGGAGCCAGAGGCGGGGAAGCCCTGCTGCCTGGGAAAGCACTTACCCCGCAGCCCTGGCTGCGCTTCCAGCCTCTCCCCAGCTCGGGGAAGGGAAGGGAAAGGGAAGGCAAGTTCAGCTTTTCATTAGAAATTTGATGGGAAGCTGAAGTCGACAGATTTCTGAAGAGGAGTGGCAGCTCAGAAGCGGATGAATTTCTTCATCGAGGCCCATGTCCTCCCTGCTGTGGGTCCCTGCTGCCCTTGTCTCCCCAGCTGGGAGCTCGGGAGCAGCAGTTTCAGCTCTGCATCCAGCAGGACCAATGCCCCCAAGCTGTGCTGACAGATGGACTCCCTGGCAGACAGCCATGCCATGCCTTCTCCTACAGGAAAGGGCGACTCGCCTCTCCTCTTCTCTAGGATAGCTGGTGGACACCCACGAGCAGGGTTCCCCTGAGCTTTCACTCCTTGAGAAAGCTCAACAGGGTAGGTTTAGACTGAACATCAGGAAAGAATTTTTCACAGAAAGAGTGGTCGGGCATTGGAATAGGCTGCCCAGGGAGGTGGTTGAATCACCATCCCTGGATGGGTTTAATGGACGTTTAGATGTGGTGTTGGGGGATATGGTGTAGGGGAGAACTTTGTAGGGTGGAGTAGATGGTTGGACTTGATGATCCCAAGGGTCTCTTCCAACCTGAATGATTCTATGATTCTATGAAAGCGCCAGGCACTTGAGCCACTGGTGCGTGCCACACGTGGGAATCACCGAGGGAAAGGGATTAAACGACTCTTCATCCAGATCAAGAGGAATTCTCCTCTGAGGAAGGGCACGGGTCACAGCGAGCCGCCAGACCACTGGGTATAAACACCAGTAAACAAGTCTGGAGTAAAGATGTGGCTGCCTTAAAACTGCTGCCCACAGCACATCACAGCCAGGTCACACTCGCAGTGATTCACCACTCACCATCCCTGACCACGGGTGGGATGGAGTGAACGGGCTTAAAACTGGGAAATGGAAGGGAGTACGTGCATTTGTAAAACAAGCAATCCATTTAATTAAAACAGCGCGCCTACCAGCTAGACATATCCTACTGGAAGCATTTAATATTACGCATTTACAATTCCACGGTACTTGAATGACTTGTTTAAAAAATTTGCACCCACGTTCACGTATTAATTTTCTACAAATACAATTACGGTGAATTAATCTACCAGCAAAAGGGCTACAAAAAAGTCAAAAGACATCCAAAAACCTCCAAATAGAAGTCATTGAAGTAGCACTCATTAGGTGTCGGATGCCTGGCTTGTGCTGCTGACATAATAAAATGACACCAAGTGGGTTTTTTAATTTTACCTTCTAGAGACTCTGCTGGAACACTCCTGATATTTCACTACCCAACAACTTTAACTGGCTGGACAGTTTTTATAAGAACACTGCCGGCAACCAAGAAAAGAACAACATACGTGCTACGTATCGCAGATGACTCAAAACCACCAGGCTTCACCCACAACATGAACTGATGGTCCTGCAGAACCCCACATAAAGTCACACTCACTTTTTTCTCCCCTACATGGTCCTGCAGAACCCCACATAAAGTCACAACTACCTTTTTCCCCCGCTATTACTTGGCAAACGGAAGATAAAAGACAGCTTTGGGCTGGTTTTTGAGTCTAAGCGCGGGCCGTGCTTATGGCAGATCACGTAAAGCCCATTTAAAGAGCCTATTTTCCCCACGATGGGGAATGGGGAACTGCATTTCTTTTCTTGGAAGCCTGCACGAGCATTGCTGCGTTTGCATAATTTAGGCGGGTGCATGTGTTTGTATCCAGAGCGTGCTGCACCCGAGCCTTTTGTTCGGCAGTTTCCCATCGTGGCGTCCGGCCGGAGGGCTGGCCAGCTGGAGACAGCAGGTGTCTGACATGCCTACAAGCCCAAGCAAAAAAACTGGGGACTTGATTTGCTTTAAATCTTACGCTGGAGTTTATTCATTAGTTAATCAGCAAACAAAGCAGACAATATATACATCCGTAAAGTCAGCAGAGGTCTGAACTCGGGGAGTGAGTCAGTAGCTTGGAACAGTTTGGCCAAAGGTTTAACCAAGAGGGTGCCTCACCCATCAAAAGGGTAAGGCAGAGGAAGGGACCTCTGGACAGGTTAACTCCAATTGGAACAATCACCATTAATTAACCCTTTACCCTTGATGAAGAAATCTCCCTCTCTCTCCTGGTAAGACTATCATCACCGTTGCTTCCGATTTATTGTGAGACAGGTCCATCCCACAGCATTGCCAAGAAGCAGAAATGAATCATCAGCCCAAGGTGTTTAGAAAACGGACAGTGAGTAGCCCCAAATTCCCATCCACACTCCCACATGGACTGGGTTCAGACAGGAAATCCTAGAATATATATATATATTTTTTTAGTTAACTGGATGGGAAGGGGTGCTGTGCCCAGCAGTCTGCTCTGCCAGACCACCCCCTGCCTGCTGGTTCACCTGTGCTCTTAAAAAAACCCCACAAAACAGCACAAAACCACCCCCCTGAGCATTTCAGGCAAGAAATGTGGGCTTTCCTCAGTTCTGGGGGGTTATCTGCGCTGTCTGGGTGGACTCAGTTTCCTTCTACTTCTTCCCTTCCTCTTTGCTCAGCCTCACTGGGACGGGTCTGCTGACCCAGCAAAATCCTCTCACATCCCTACTCCAAGCGCAACATCAGGGTTTACAAACATTAAAAAGGGAAACAGTTTTGACCAAAGCCATGAGGCAAAAGCGAAGTATTTACATTAACAAGCAGGCTTGTTGAAATCGCTTTGTTTTTTTTGTTTCTGTTTTTTTTTTCCCCAGGACTGAGCAGAGATTTGGGTTCAGTTTGGGGTTTTTTTGTAGTAGATTTTAGCATCTTACAGCCCTATGACGTCCGCTGTCTCAGTCACACCAGCTTTTGTCCTCACTGTTTTCCAGATGGGCAAACACAGGCTATTCCAGCCACGGCCTTGATAACGAGGAAGCTCTGAATTATTCTTAACAAAAGGGCAGCCGCTAAACCTATTAATACCAACTAAAAACCAACCAGCTGGCAAGAAAAACAGCGCATGATCAGAGGCTGCCCCGCTAATTTTTTTTCATTCTTCTTCACTTGGGCTGATGCAAGGGCAGCGTTCATAGCTGCTGTTCTGCCGTACACCTTTGGCCATATTTTTATGCAGCTTAGATGTGAGAGATGACACAGGAAAAATATATCTATAGGTTTTTGGGTTGTTTTTTTTGGGGGGGGAGGAGGAATCTAAGCAGAAGGACAGGTCATTAAAGCGTCAAACACACAGGACTGTGCAGTTTCAGATGACACAACCTGGCCCAGGTACCTCTGATGGTCTCCCAGAGTCCTTCTGAACAAGTGACTCCCTTAAAGTCAACACTGGAGTCGACATTTAATTGTAAAAAATTCTCATCATTGTTAAAATAAAAGAATAATTCACCCATAACAACAGAAGGACTAAGGAGTATCTCTGGATGGAGCCCTCTCGTCCTTGCAGTGGGGCCACCCCAGGGAAGCAGGGCTGGGTGACGAGGTGACATGTCCTGCCCTGGCCACGCTCCACCCATTCTGTGCCAAAGCAAAATAATCCAGCGCCTTTCCCAAACACGACATTATTCTCCTTAAACGAAGGCGGTGCCAGGAAGAGCTCAACGGGCTCGGTGGCCGGTGCCCTGCGACACCGGCGGTGTCACCCCGATGGGGTCCGACCTGTCCCCATGCAGGGCCACCTCCAGATGGACACCCAGGCGTGACGGGGGCCAGAATTTGCCCCCCATGGCCTTGCCAGCCCACCCCCATGCGATGCTGGTGATGAAGGCAGCTGCCAAGGACCGGGTTTGGGGGACAGGAGGCAATGAAGGCAGCTGCCAGGCGTCGCGGGGAGGGGGATATGAGGCTCGGGGACCACCAAGCCGAAGGTGGGCTTCCAGAAACACGTCTGAGGGGTTGACGTTCAAGAAGGAGAAAGCCCGTTCAGCCGGGGGGCGGAGAGGCCCCATCCCCCGGAGCAGCGCCGGTACCCAACGGCACATCCCCGGTACCCAACGGCACATCCCCAGTGGGGCCGGCCAGAACGCGGCCCCCCGGGGCCCCTCCCGCTCCCCTTCAGCTTGAAGACCACCGAGCGTCCCCCCAACACCCCCCCACCTCCATCCCCATTCCCGGCCCCGTTGTTGCCGCCGCCGCCGCCTGGCTCACCCCGTATGGCGGCGATGAGCGCGTTGCCGTCCTTAATGACCTCCTTAATGAACTTGTTGGTCCGTTCCAGCTCCTGCTCGTAGCACTTGAGCCGCTCTCGGAAGTCGGGGCTGTCCAGGTAGCAGTCGCTGAACTCCAGCGGCGGGTGCCCCATGGCTCCTCCGCCTCCACCGCCACCGCCACCGCCGCGATGCGGGCGCGGCTACGGCCCCCTCCCTCCGCCCCGGGCGGCCATGCCGCCGCCCCGGCCCCGCCCCGGCCC